CACATCTCCACATATCTTTTTTTACATACTTAAGCCTTCTGGTCTTGTATATCTTTATTTATATCTTTCTAACAAGACATGCATACAAAATCCTTTCATATCAAAAGTATATCTCTTTTATCCATAGTTTTTTAATATTTTTCTTCTGTCGTCTCACTTATTATAAACCTTATATATATAACAAACTTGTCTTAAGTTGTTAAAAATTTAAAGTGTCTCTTTTTTTTCTGTTCTCAGATTGTTATATCTTAAAATTTGACTGGCTGTCAATAGAACAGTACTAACCTTGATTTCTTCATCAAAAAAGTATAGAGAAGAGCAAGTTAACCCTATAATCACAATTCAAGAATTTGTATTGTACAAGAAGTGTTTTAAGCACACCAATTAAACTTAACTCAAATTGAAACAAAGATACATTTATCAAATAGCTAAAATTTATAACTTGATTTTTCTTGTAAAAATCTTTTGATGTCTGGTAAAATATAATTGCAGTTTTTTTGGCTTGTAGTGTTTTTTTGTTTTTTTTAAATCTGAGTGTAAGCACTGTTCCATTTTCTGAGTTTGACCATGTTTTCCATTTGTATCCTCTAGCACAGTAAAGCTAAACAATTCTGTTTTTGTCTCCACCTATTTTACACTTTCTTAGCAACTCAAGTGGGGCAGGGGATAGCTAGACTTCCTCCAAAGGGAAAACACCAGAATTTGTCTGCATTAATGTCACATTTTCTGAGAGGCAAGTTTTATACTGGAAAAACAGCAGATTTGTCAAGCAATTGTTTTAAGACCAAAACTAAATAGTCCTCACTAGTAGCTGATTACCATGGAGCAGAAGCTTGAGCAGCTCCTAGAGCACAAGAGGCTCCACGTTATTAAAGTCTTAGGTAAGTAAACAAAGGCCGATAACTTTTCCTTTGTCTAGAGTTGTCCTGTGGGCAAAGTCTGGCTTAGCTGAGACCATGATAACTCACAAAGTTCTTTTTTTAAAAAAAAAACATCTTTGGTTGTAGTTTTATCTTATAGTCCCCCATAAAATTGTTATCAAAATTTTGAATTATGCACTTAAGAACAGTTGGTTTAGTATTAGCATTCCCCATGACCATTAGATATCCTCTTGTCCGGTGAAGCAAGGCAAACAAAGGGTGGGGTGCCATTCCAGAAAATGGCCTTGTTTATTTACCGGGAGGGCTCTTTAAGTGCAAGGGATCAGTCCAGGTAAATGCGAAAATGTCTTGAGAATCTTTGTGTAAAGGGATAGAAAAGAATGTATCCTTGAGGTCTAGAACAGAAAAATAAGTGGCATCGGATCAGATGGAAGACAGAAGGGTATATGGGTTTGGCACGATTGGGTGTATGGGAATAACAGCTGAATTAATAATTTTGAGGTCCTGAACTAATTGATATGTTCTATTGGGTTTTTTTACTGTTAAAATGGGAGTGTTAAAGGGAGAGTTGGCATGTCTCAGAAGTCCCTTTTGTAAGAGATCATGTACTATGGGAGTTAGTCCCTCTAAGCTAGAGCGGGGGAGGGGATATTGTGTCAAGCTAGGGAATTGTGAGGGATTTTTAAGGAGAATTTTGATATGGGGACATTTGGCTATTGAGGGAGAGTGAATATCCCACACTTGAGGATTAACAAGAGAGGGGCTAATCGGCCAGTTGGATTGGGAAGATGGAGATTGGAGGGCTTGGGATAATACTAGGCAGAAGGAAGCTGTCGGAGTACTGGAAGGGCTTGACCATAAAAAATGAATGGATGTTCCAATTTGGGATAAAATGTTGTGAC